AGCTGATGACACAGCGGCTTCATGACCATAATAATCCAAACTGTGCATTACCCAGTCGGCCTGTTCCTGAATCAGAGAGTCAGACGTGATTCACAATCATAACAATGTCTTCAAGCATCAAAAACAGATATACTATTCGGGTCGGGTATTTTAACCCCATTCACCCATGCAGGGAGACAAGTTTTCCAGTCATGGAAACACCTGGAAACTGATTAAAATGTCCAAATATGCTGGAAATGTTTGTATTATATCCCCTTACTCAGATCACCTGCGTAAACCTGGTGTTGAAACTTGGCTGTTGGTTGGATAAACTGTATGATACAGGTTTACATAATGCAAACTGGAACTGACTTGCAGTAGTTTATTCGACGTTGAGTCTGTTTTTTCCAGATCTAAGCGCTAAATTCCTGATATCTCCATGCATACAGCTTAACAATGATCGAATTCAGTGTTGCTGTGGTTGATAAATGCGTGCACATTGATGTTAATTGTACGTGCAATGAACACTTAAACTTTCTAAAACTTTCAAGAAAAACTCTTGAGTTAAAAAGAGCTAATCGAGCTGGTATATACAGGTTAATGCTGTAAATGCGTCATGATCGGATCTTCCTGAAGATCTGCACAATTTTGTCGACTTATTCGATAAGTCGTGTTTTGATTTTTTACTGAAACTCTTCTCACGTCTCAGGTCAGATGACAAGAAGCCGTTGTCATGGCGATCACTACCCAGGAAGCACGGCAAGACTCTGTTCAACACCCTCACCAACCTCCACAAGACCCTGGAGAAGAGTGAGTGACGGCTCCGAAAGAAAGCAAAACTACAGAACGATACATTAAAACATTAAATATACCTAATAAATTATTGAATCTTAGACTTAGACTATTTAAATCAAATAGACACTCTGCTATATTTTCTCCTTCTCTCCTCGTCGCTGCAGTTTGCACTCCCGGCCAGGAGGAGGCGACGCTGGAGTTCCTGTTGACGGACTACGATCAGATCTACAGGAGTCAGAAGCAGCTGGAGCTGGAGATCCAAGAGGCGTTCCTTCGCTTCATGAGCTGCCTGCTGCGAGGATACCGAACCTTCCTGCTGCCCATCACCCAGGCACCTTCAGACACCACCACGGACTGCAGTTCCCTCTTCAACCTGCAGGGTGAGCACTGTTTGAGTGTGTTTCTTTAGTAGATTTTGATCTGATGGTGGTTATACAAACAGTGTCTCCAACATTAAGGTTAATGCTCTTGGTACAAGGAAATTCTGCACCAATTACATGTAAATATGGCCAGATTTTACTGAGATACTGTAACATGTCAGATGTAAGTCAGATGTTGGGCAGATGAACCAAACTACAGTGGCACCAACTTTTATTACTGTTACAGGAGGAGTTAAAAGACAGGATAAACAAGTTAATATATAAAAATAAATAAAAAGAATATTAAAAAAGTGGGACGAGCAGTGCTTTACCTTGCTTCACTCATCAAACGGTGGAAGATTAATTTGAAACCCCGACTTTGCTGATCGATGAATCTCTTCCTGCAGGTTTCCTGAAGTCTCGGGACCGAACGCAGCAGAAGTTCTACACTCAGCTGACGAGGACTCAGATGTTCACTCAGTTCATCGAGGAGTGTTCCTTCGTCAGCGACCGACACGCATGCCTCGAGTTCTTTGACGAGTGCGTCCAAAAGGTCAGAACTCACCATCTGTATGATTGTCACTCACAGCTTCCTGCGGCGTCTTCACAGTAGGAGTCAAAACATATTCTACTGTGAAACAGCTGCAGGAAACGTTGACTAACTGGCTTTAAAGGAGCTGCATTAAGCAGGTTTAAGTCCTATTTATTACATCGATCTCGGTTTGTACATGTTAACGATGAATCCTCCTAAACACTGAAGTTGGTCAACACTTACGCAGATGATAACCAATTATATTACATATATTATATTAACTAAACAACAAGCATGCCTTTAATGATATAAAAACATGGAATGAATCTGCAGTTTTCTGATGTTAAAATTCTGATGTTAAAGCTCATATACAAACAACTTTGAAACACATCATCTAAAGATGTTATGTATGTATGCAAGTATGTTATACTCATAAAAATACAATACATCTGTTCTGACTCCTCGTGGAAAAAGCTGGTTAATTATATTGAGATTGGATTATTTTGGGTGGAAATAATAATCTTTATTTTGAAGTTGTTTGCAATAAGAAAATTGAATAAAAAATTACAAAAACTCAAAACCAAGGAGGTACTTTGTTTGTCAAGTGAACCGGGCCTGAACAAGAAATAATAGATATTATAAATAACCCAATAAAGAAAGGAATGATGAGTATTCATGGTCTCCAGGTGGATGTGGAGAAGCCGGAGGAGGTGAGGCTGATCGATCTGGACGAGACTCACAGTGGAGAACACACAGTCTTCATCATGCCTCCTGAAGAACCGCAGGAACCTGACGGGTCCGAGTGTCCGGCCCTCTACAGGTACGGAGTCACCGAAACGTCCTTGTGTGTCCACGTTTAAGATCATATGTGCTGATGAGATTAATCCTATTCGTATCTCCAGTTATGAAACCTTCCCGACACTGAGGCCAGACCTCTTCGAACGGCCCCAGGACCAGCTCCGGGTCCCAGCTAAGGGCAGCGCCCCCAGTAGCCCTGCTCCCCGACGCACAAAACAGGTACAACAACACAAAGCATTTAAATATATTTAAATGAGTAGTTT